CGGAGAGACTCCTGGCACTATTTTTTTTTTTTTTTAATTATATATAGGCAAGTTAATGTCGTCGTTTTATTAACACTTTTCGTTTTAAGAAGTAATTTTATTTTTATTATAGCGCGGTATTTTAACAAAACATTTCTGATAGACTTAATTCCTTTATTGTCATTTTTTTCCTGGACCGTAAGCCATATAACCGGTAACAAAGGAACAATGATTTTCAACAAAGCTACATTTTAAGAACAATTCCCTTTTTTTTATCAATTTTTTTTTTTTTTATCAGCGTTTTTATTTTGGCAACATTTTTTAAAGAGCTGTTCATTTTTTTTCTAAAAATACGAAAATGTAAAAAATTAAATTAAGAGTTTAGAACTAGTTCTTATCGACGTTTGTATTTTAATTTGGCAATTATAATACAAAATAATTTCTAATAAACGTTATTCTTTTTTTTTTCTCTCTGTATCTAATTATTGTATTTTCAATACAATAATTAGATATAGATGTTCAGCCTTTAAAAAAATTTTCGAGTTATTAGATCGATTTTGATTTTTTTTGTTTCGCTTTTGCTAACAATCTTTTGTTTTTTTATGATAGCATTTCATTTTTAAAAGCATTTTTGATAGACTGTATTTCTTTTAACGTCCGGAACGTACCGTCTTTCTTTCGGGAAATATTACTTTCGGTATTAAAATTTTGTTTCAAAAATAAGGAGGATTTTTTTTTCCTTTCGATTTCTCTTACCTTCAACTTTGCAACTTTAGTTTTTTAACCCCTATTCATTCCATCAGAATTTTTGTAAAAGATCCTGTTTTTGTGAAAAATTTACTCAATCCAAAATTACGGCAGAATCTTGTTTTTTTTTTCCAGAGAGAATCCTGTTTTTTTGAAAATGTGAAAACAAAGTCCCATATTTAAGAAAATAACACAAAAACTATGTCTTCCGTAGAGTACCGACGTTATCGACTCCTTTTCTAAAAAGAAAAATTTTGTGCACGGTCTATTTTTAAAAAGAAAGATATTGTGAAGTCTGTTTTAAGATATATTTCGTGAAGGGTCCGCTTTTACGATAAAATAAATAAAGAGTTCGCGGTAGAATATTTTGTGAAGGATTCGTTTCAGAATTCATTTTTTAGCGATAAAATGCTAAGAATTTGTTTTTAAATTAATACAATTTTGATAACAAATGGACCGAAAAAACGACTTACGAGAGGGTAAGTGAGACTTGCAAATATTGAGAAATCCGCAATGGTCAAATGGTTTCCAGCAACATATGAAGTTTGGCTGAGGAATCCTTCCAGAAATCCTATAGCTTTATCAGCAGCTTCTTTCTTTTCACTGTCAGGTGGCTGGCCCAAGAAAAATGTAGGATACTGAAATGAATTTTTAAAAAAATCACATCTGATTATCAACGGTTTTTCAAATTTACTTTAATACGCCAAGTCATTTTCACTTTATCCGAAAGTATGAACTACTATTTAGTATGAAGCATTGTCAATTTCTGAAAAGAAGAACCAAAATTTGTCAAACACAGAGAAATTATTAAGTAACTTAATCGTCAGTACAGACGAGAACATAATAAATATTTATATTAGTGTATACCACTGGTCGGAAGTAGCGCGTTTTACAAGTAGCGAAACTACTCTTGTCGCTACTTTTTTTCGTAGTTAGTGAGTGTAGCGTGTAGTGCGATACTAAAAAATAGTAGCTTGTAGCGACTTCAGGCAACTTCTTTCTTAAGTTTAGTAAAAGCTAAAATATTTTCGTCTAATGCTCTAAAGCAGCAAGTTTTTTTTTTTTTTTCATTTAAGTGGGCAGCAGTTCCATTTTCTTAAAGTTATTTCGTTCATTATCATTGGAAATCTTGCAAACAAAGGAATCATTGGAGATCGAACCATTAAGATAGAGTCCTAGAATGTGAAGATCCGATCATTAGATATAAAGTTATTAAGGGTGTCCCGTTTTTTTTCTTCTTTTTTTTCCCCCTGTTATTTTGGGCACTGTACTTTATTTCTTGAACGATGTAAATAAGTATTAATCGCTGAAATCCCAAATATTTAATATTCTTATCATTTCTGGTTGATAATTTATTATCATTTCTTAAATTAAATATTTACTGTCAAGAAGAGCATGAAGTTGAACAAATTTCTAAAAAGTGCTTTAGAGAAACTAGCATCAGGGGTCTGTCTAGATTTTTCTGAGAAATACCTATTTTGTGAAAATTTAGACATAATTTGTTGAAAATTATAAAATTATATTAAAAAATCAACCCAAAAATATGTATTTATCGTTTCTTAAGTGATACAAAAATAAAATTTTAAGAAAAAGTATTTTGTGAAACTACCGTTTTTCCTTAAGTTGAATTTGTGAAACTGCCGTTTTTCCCAAAGTTGAATTTGTGAAAGCACCGTTAAACGGTAGTAAATTCGGCCTGGACAGACCCCTTGTGTGTAAAGATGAATTAACATTTCTTAATAACTTCTCATGTTTAACTAACCAACATTGGTGGGAATTACGCTCGCCAGTATGTCTTCAAAAAGTAATATTTCGAAAGTAGTTTGTAGTAGAGGTACATTAAAAAAAAAGTTGTAGTCAACTAAAACGTAGTTTTTCCGACCATTGGTGTATGCTATGAAAGCTAGATTTTAAAATTTTGTTAGGTTACGATTACGGTGACAGATTTTTTCTTCTTTTTTTTAAAATCAAAACTTATCCTCTTAATATAAAAGGAAAAACTTAAAATGATATTGAAAGGTTTTTGCACCCTAGATTTTGTGCAATATGGTATGGTCTATGATAGTCAACTTTTTCAAAAAATAAATAAATAAAAACTTTATTTTTAAACAGCACAATTTATTTTTCGACGAATTAAATTGCCATTAATAACTTAAAACACAATCATTCGCTTTTTTTTTCATGACTAGTGTAGGACTTAGTAAATGGTACGACTCATATAGCGCCAATCACAATTAATCAACTGTGACTAAAAATAGCTAATAAGCTCTGAGCTTTACATAATTTAACAAGTTGGTTAAATTTTCGATTTTAAAAACAAAAGCAACCAAATAACTTAAGCCTTTCAACCATAGCGAAAAATGTTTAGAATAATACATTTAAACAAGGCATTTTTATTTTGTCTGACTTAGCATGCAAATTATACCATACAGATATAATCGAACAAAATAAATAATTTTAAACTGCAGGATGAGTGATGCAAATCGGTGCTCAAGTGAAAAACAATTTTCATCATAAGTTATAGGATCATTTATTGCAACAGCACAAGTTTAAAATATTTGATTAGTAATAAAACTATACAAACCATATAATCAGTTATAGCCTTGTAGAGAGTGCCAATATCAAAGTAGAGGAGCCTATCAATAATGGCTCTTTCTTTGACATCTTTAGGATATAAAGGATTGCCTGGTGCATACTTGTCCACTATATATGATAGGATAGCACGGCTAGAAATAAATTAAAAAACATATAACGCTTGGATTATTCAAATACTGTTGATAATCGAAAAATCTTATGAGTAAAGGTAGTTAAAATAGAATTTTAAACACTCCTAAATACATTGAATGTAGAAATTAAGAGCCAGATAAACATCTTCTAGAATAGAGAAGGCCTTCGCACTGTATTTTCATTATCGAGAAATCCGATCCCTCAGCACTATAAACGTTATGCTTTTTTCTCATTCCCCACTGCGCAGAGTAGTAGTCCGAAGATTGTGGCATTTTTCTTAATCCCCCCCCCCCGATGCGGAGTTTAAATTCGTTCCTTTGAACTAATAAAGTGATGCGTGCGAAGGCCTTCTCTCTTCCAGGTATTGATGCCAAGTGCGGTTATACTGCGATTATAAAGACATTGCGTATGTAAGATGTCGAAATCAAATTGTTATTAACTATGCCTGATCCCCAAAACAAAGTAAAACTAGACAAGATCACTAGGGCATTTCTCCATTCTCTAAAAAAGATTGTGTACCCCTAAATCTTGTTTAACTTTCGTTACTCTTTAACATTAAAAAAAATGTCAAATAAATTGTTTTCATTCATCATACTGCACTATTTAACAATTGGTAAAAAAAAAAAAAATAGTCGAATTAGAAACAGAGCTGTTCGAAAAACCATAGTTAATTTTTGATATATTGTGATTTTGGTTTTTCTCGGTTATCTTGAACACGCATCAAAATTTTAAAAACCCTTCATCTTTTTTACCAGAAATATTAATAAGTATGAAAGAAGCTTTCATACGAACAACTATTTTCTTTCCAGCTCTAGAGCAGTGGTTCTAAATTTTTTTTATCTATTTATTTATTTTTTTGCCGCCACGGAAATCAACTTTTTTTACGGCGGAACCCTGACTTTATTTTTAAAAAAAAGTTTATTAAGATAATTGTGAATGCTATAACTTATAAAAGACTTTTTTTAATATTTAATTAGAGGAATGTGGATTTTTTTATCGTTCTATCATTAATAATCTTAAATTAGGATTATGCTGCTAGACAGTTAAGTTTGCAGCTCTTGTGCTACATGTAGTCTAGCTCTGATTTTTTTTAGTGTATAGACATAAGCTGAAAATGATTAAAACAAGCTGAATTATAATTTACTTATAATTGAAAATTGTTATATAATTATTAGAAATATATTTTCTTTTAAAAAAAAATGCGATTTTTACTTCATTGGCATGGAATTTTACTTGAAATAATTTCTTAAAGGTAAAATTAAATAAGTTATGAAATATAGATTGGATCTAAATACAATCAAAAATTATAAAAAGGACTAACTGACTAGAGGTTATAAAAGTACTCATCATTGGTTATAAAATGTACTAACTAGAGGAACTCTTAAGAGTTCCGCGGAACACCATTTGTGGAATCGCTGCTTTAATGTTGAAGCAACATGAACACTCAATTACTTTCAGCGAACCATTATTAACGCTGTAGACTTGGGATGCAATACTTTTGTTCTATTATCAATCAAAAAGTTGAAGAAAAGGGGGGGAAAACTACAAAACTAATGTTTATTGTTTTTCAATAAACTTCCTTTAACATTCCGTTTTTTTCTTTTATAAAGAAAATTTTAAAACATGTTCATAACAAATATACGAGCATATAGTATGATTTACTAAAAAATGAAAGATGTAGTTTATAACACTAAAAAAGTATTCAACTCAATTTTTCGGTGGAGAAAGTTTTAAGCAAGCTGTAATTTAAATTTATTAAAGAAGGCGAAGTACACAAAATTTCGCGGTTTTAACTTGAAAATATTTTTACACATGCTTTTCCTTTCAATTTTTAATACGAATCGATATTGTTTTTATTACACTTTGAAACACATAAATTATCATTGCTATAAAAATTGTACACATAAGGACCCTTGAAAGCCCAATTTTTTTCTGCGTCTTTCTTCCGGAAAAAACTATTATTATAGTGCAACAAACCCTTTCCCACTATATTTAAAAATAAACTTCAATAATTTTAGTTCAAAAATGAAATCAAATTTGAGATGTTGAGCGAATTTTATTTACCTTTCCCAAAGAATCAGGCCCTTGTCATCTATGGTAGGTACAATATGTTGCGGATTTATCTGCAATTAAGATACAAAAATGAAATCTATTAAGAAAATAAAATATGAAAATACTAATGTATCTAAATAGAGACAATGAATGGGCAAAAACTCAATTTTCACCATTATTCTATAGATAGAGAAACGGATTAAAAATAAAGAACCCATAATTTGGGTTTATGCCCATTTATTTGACGATACGAAAATTTAAATGCCTATAAATTCTAATTGTACCAAATCACAATAATTTTTAGAACAGACGGTTTTTATATTTAAGATTTCAGTTACTTATAGAACTCACTTCTTCGGCAGTAGAGGCAGGAAGTATTTAAATTTTTATATCGTAGTTTAATTAGCTAAATAGCTGTGTATTTAGTTCGTTTAGTTCACCAGCTTAAAAAATTTTAACATAATTTGTGGGAGTTATTACTTTTAACAATAACCGTAAGCGCTGCATTTTACACTTCTTCTTGAAAAACCGTTTTTGTGCTCTGACGACCGGAACATAATTGCTTAAATACAAAACAAGTCCCCAATTCAAAACCTTTTGTTCAACTAATGTCAGCAACATTTCTGCACCTGTGATGCAACAGCTCTTAGCTGTCGTTCAAACATTTAGGTAGACCAAAATTTTTCTTAAATAATAGTTGATTTAGCAGGATCATCTCCAATATGTATACATAGTCAGGCGGGACCTGATATAAAGTTACAAAAAAGATTTCATATATTTTTCCCTAAAAGCCATTTTTATCCATGTGCTGTTCATCACAGCTCAGAAACCAACCACCTTATGTAATAAAACCTTTGGTTGTTGAGACATGATTTAGAAAGATGAAGGCATTCTGTTGCTTAAACATAAAGTAAGTCTGTTAAAAAATATGATATATGTATTCAACATAAGTCTGTTTAAAATAATGATAATCGCAGTAAACAGGTCTTACTGCCGGTCATTTGATATAATTCTGTACCAAAGCAACCGGGAATACGATAATAATTTTATAATATTTTGAGTACGTTTGTGCAAAACATAAATAGTACAAAATATTTCTCAGAAAATATATGGTACATTTATTCCCATTTCGTGACTAGTAAATCTGACAACTTCTCATCACTACAGTATTATAACATTAATAATACTGTCACATTAGAAATCATTGAACCACGTTTGCCCTATTAGAACCTACTAAATCTACAAGATAAGGTGATGCAAAAAGGTCACTCTATGGTTTGGAGAAGTTTTTTTCACTTAACAAAGTTTTAAAATATGCCAGAATAATCAACTGTATTCCGTTTCCTGCTGTATCATTAGAAATTATTTTGTTTAAAGATAAAATATTTTTTTCATGCATATGCAGTATTACAAAATGGACACCTTCTAGTCATTTTACACGTGCGAGTAAATGACAGTTTACAACTAAGCCCAAAACAATAAAATTTACTTCACTGATAAATTTAGTCATTAAAAATCAGGAAAAATTTATTAGTCGGTGTCGGTGATTTCTGAGATTGGTCATGTTCTCTCTAGTTGATACCGACATAGAATTTTCAAAAGTCGAAACGGCAGACGTTAGTGTCATTTTAAAAATATTATTTAAGAAATTATAATACCAAATATACTGATCATGCATAATTACACTGACTGGAATAGAAGGAAGTAAATTTGAAGGTGAAAGCATTGGTATCTTGATTCCCCCCTACATTTAGTATATTTAGGAACTACTTGTTCCAGTTTATAATCTTCAAAATTCAAACTGGCAGCCCCAAAAATGCCACTTAAATATAAATATGTAATGAAGAATAGGAGTTTAATTGCTTCAACTGAAATAGAAAGTTGTAAGTTTGAAAACAAAAGTAGTGATATCTTGATTTTTGTTTTCTTTTAGACTTTAATATTGAAGAACTATCCTAGCACAAAATCTTTAATATTCGAAATGGCATGCATCAAATTCAATTAAAAGAAATAATAATACGACATATAAAAAAACTGCAGCGATTAAAGTCGTTAAAAACCGAAAGCATTTTCCCCTAAAAATTCATGAAAGAAATGACAGTTTCTTTTTGGCTTGTTAACATATTAATAAAAAAAAATATTATTTAAAGAATGTTTATCTACCTTTAAATATTCAGGTTTCATGTGATCATTGGCATAATAATCAAGAAGCTTAGATTCAACTTTGATTCCCAGGTGACCAAGAGTCATCCGAACAGCTGCACAAGGAGGACTGCATTCCATTTCATACAAAATAATACCCATCTTCACTTTACTTATTTTTAGGCTTTAAAATCAGAAGTGTAAAACTGAAAAAATAACAAAAAGGCACAGACGTAAATAAATTTGTATAAATCTAGTATGTACTAAATATCTGCTTCAACAGTTAAAGTATAAAGTGAGGATTAAACAGGATATACTACAGAACACCCATATGACAACTGAGCTTTAATTTTTTAAAAAAAGAAAATAGATTTGACAGTTAATACTTCTAGAATCACGCTTACAAGGTCAGTAAAAAAAAGTAGTTGGCTTAATGCCAAGGGAGTATTTGATATATTTCCATCTAACTGATGGCAATTATTTAACAAGGGTAAAAAAAAGAGAGAAATTATCTGATAATTTTTTAAAATGAGTGTAAAAATCATCAAATGTCAGAAAAAGACGTTATCGTTTTGTTCCTTTTTTTTTTCGCTTTTCTTTTCCTTCGAATGTCTTTTATTTATAAAAGGCGTTAACTGATAAAATTTTATATAACTTTCATATCAAAACTGATAATCTTTCATCTGTAGTTTAGAGATTGGCACTTGTAGAGCATAGGAGTTGTGTTGCAACTTTTGATAAGATTTATTTTTCCGGGAAAATAACTTTGTTGCAGTTCAAATTTCTAGAAACAGCCACCAAAGTTTAAATACTAAGAAAAATAATTTTTATGTAAAATATTATGGTAAAGAATTATAAATTTAAAAAATGTATTTTTTTTCTTTCCTTTTTCAAATAACATTAAGTATAATAATCAGTCAACTCTATTGGTTAACTACACTATATTTCTGTTCTTATACATAGCTGTTTTACATTATTTCATTTCATTATTTGTATAATATAAACATAAATGAAATTTATTTCAAAATAAAAATTTACGTGCAAAGAATTTCTCACTTTTGGTGTGTATAATATAAGTATTTTTACAGACTTCGTAGCGTGAACTTTGAAAAGGTTCAGACTTACTAGTGCGATCGTTAATTGGTGTTAGAATGTATTTGATTCAGCATTATAACTAGAATAATTGAGGTAATTGATTGTACTAAAATAAAAATCAGATATTTTTAATAACTATATGTTGAGCCGCACTTCAGCGGCTTAAGGAATGTTTTTGCAAATAGAAGACGATTTAGATTTTTCGTAAGTTTCATTTACTTAAAACACAAATTCGAGGTATATTTTGTTTGTCTCAATATTTACTGCAGGCTTGTTCAGGAGTCCCCTCTCTTTTGGATGAGTTCGAAATTACAAGGCAACGGAGTTTAATATTAAAAACTGCACATTCGCTTTGCAGATCGCCAGTTTAACACCAGTATAAAATGGTAATTAAAACAAAAAGTTTACTTTAATATGCTATATATAATAAAATAATATGCTATAATAATATAATATGAAAATAATTTTTTAAGACACTTTTGATGGAAAAAAAAGTAACACAGTGGGCTTATCGCTTCGTTAGTTTGCCTGCGTCTTTTACGAATTTCGTCTTTACGGTCCTAACCTTTATGTTCAATAATAAAATTAAAAAAACGTTCTTGAAACTAATAAAATCGCGTTCCTTGTAAAATACTTTTAATTACATTCTATATTTGTATTAATTTTATTCGCAGTATTGAAGTTAACATTTGCAATTTTTTCTTACTATTTTTTTATTATAAACAATTATCTTTTTATCAGTTCATATCATAAAATTGACGCTTATTTAATCTTATGAAATTAGGTTATCAAAATTTTCAGACAAATAAAAAATCGAAGTTTTTTTTAATTTTTTTATATTTTGCACAATCGTAAGGAGTTTGGGTAACAGTGTAGTTGGGAAGTTATCTCCAAAAATGTCACAAATTTAAACAAAACCACCTGTTACATCTTTTTACATTTCAACCGAAAATTACGTAATATTTCCCGCTATACAATAGAAGTTAAGAATACATTCTATCACTGATATTAAAGAAAATGATGCTATCACTCGACAGCTTAAGAATGTAAGCGCTGCGATTGTTTAACCTGATTTTTACTCATAAATAATTCAGCAAAAAGTTTTACTTAATAAACCTTACTGGAAACAGACGCCAAAATCATACAACTGTTCGATTGTTTACATTTTAGTTTTCCTTTTCTCCAAACGAGAAATGCTGCGCATGCGCCAACTTTCCGAGGCCACCGAGCCAAAGGGATTCTTTTGATTCCTCTCCGATCAAAGAACTTTATTTCAATAAAAACTCAATTAGAACTTCACTTCAACTTAGCGCTGAAAATTATGTGATAATTTGAAATCAGCAATTTTCCTTCGCTTGATTTTATCCTTTTTTACCGTATTATCCCAATTTTTCCGTTGAAAATTTTACAAATGCCTCTTTTTATTAAATCGAATTTGATTTATGGAATGTTAGTATCAGGCACTGATTCATGGAATTTTAACACCAGGACTTCACCGCTCCCATTGTGCCTGGACGTTTTACGAAAGGGTTGAGCTTTCCGAATAAAGGGTACCACGGTATTAAATTTATATTTGTTACTTTATTCTATTATTACTATGGAACTGTGCAATTATGATGTTAACAACTAAAGAGGAGAAGTTTGAGTTTTGTGAATTATTTTCGTCAATTGACCAGGGGGGGGGGGGGCATAAATGATACTTATGCAATGAACTCTACTAATTATTCTCTCTACAATGAGAAAACACGCAACTGAATAATGGATATAAAGAATAGTACAACCAACGGATAAGCGAAGCTGTTGTTAAATATTTGATATTAAAATTACATTGTTCAATGACAAATATTTAAAATTGGTGGTTGCTCAGTCAAAAACTACTGTTTGAACGGCCTTGTTTTTCGGTGGCTATGGATGTGGTTCATAATCACCAAAAATATGTGAAAGTAAAATTAGAATACCTATGTGTATAATACAAAGACTATAAATAGTGAATTAGGGTTGTATGTACATAAATAAATATTTTGATAATTAAAAAAAAAGAAATGAAGGAGCGTCAAATTAATGAATACGGTTCACTAATGAACAATTTTTCTTCTTCAATCGCACGACAGCACCACGCGAGCCTTGGCCTTCCGTAGAATTATATTCCATGCTGTCCTGTTCTTGGCTAAGGTTTTCCCAGTATGTTAACCTAACAATTTTAAGATATTTTTCTAGATCGATCCACGTAGTCTTCTACTTATTCGGTAATAGATCATTGCGCCAAGAAGAAAATGAGCAATTATCAGCCACAATTTTCCTATAAAAACATATAGTGCAAAAAAGATTTCCATGAAATATAATTGAATATTTTTTGGTAATTAAGTAAGGAAACAAATACAGCGTGTCATTTTTATGTTGCCTTAAGTAATAGACATATATGTATTATTTTATGAGTATCTTTCTACTTGTAAAAATCTGATGTGGGCTTTAAAATATAATCAAGCCTCATTGTTTTTTTTTAAAAAATATTATACAAACTTGTTTATGCAAATAAACATGACAATCATAAAAAAGGTTATAAAATATGCTATGAAAAGAAATTTTATTTCAGTTCTCTTCAATGTTAAACGATATAATTCCAATTATTCATTACACGATTATGATAAGACATTACTACTGGTTTTATTAACAATGAAAAATATCATGATTATTTTCCCAAATAACAATGCTTTATCAACTTTGTCTGAAAGAATGTGGGCTGTTGGGAAACAAAATTCAATGGACCGGGTATTAAATGAACACTGTAAAAAATGTTCCAAATGTATCTGTGTGTACAATCCTTATCAATTATGAAATCAAAGTATACACACTAGGAGTCGCGAGTAAATATTTAAGAAAGGATAAAACAAAAACGCTTGCGGAACGATTCTGGAAGACGACTCTGAAAACAAAAACCAGTATGATTGTTGTAGGAAGCGGAGAGAAATTGAAAAGAATAATTAGAAACATCTTCCAGTTTCATTCAAACAATCGAACTTTTTGATTGCTGCTTCCCGTCTCTAGATTTCGATCGAGGTCTTGCTTTTTCCTTGCTTCTTTTATTCGCTGGGTAACAATTGTATATAAGTTAATGTTTATTGAAGAGTCAGTCAACTTATGTCTCATGAAGCATCTGTAATAGTTCCAGTGCATTTCCAGTCGGAAATTTAAAAAAATTATTCATTTGTACTTGTTATACTATTTATCATGTATGAACAAAACATTTAGTTTAAATTACTCTTTCACTACATTGCATTCTGAATTCAAAACTGAAAGGAAAGAAAAAAAATTAGGAAAACGAAATTGTTTTTTTGGTTGTAAATGTTTAAACTGAATTTATTGAGGCTGTTTTAGAGAGATGTATCAGTCGCGTGATATAAAGTTTACAAATAATACACTTTTTGATCAAGATAAATTTTCATTAATTTTGTGAGTTCGTAACAGTTCCTCATAATTATAGGTTTAAGTTTTGTTCATTTTTCCATAGCATATTCTATGCTAACTATAGAAAGGGCTCTAAAATTAATCAGTTTGAAGAAAAGCCAGTTTTGTGGAAATGAAAAAAAGTTCTAAAATGCGGAAGTCTAATGTAAAGTTTTCGCCAAATCTTATAAAATATGTTTCAGCTCAAGGTTGTTCGTTCGCCTGTTTAAAATAAATCCTAGTAATTGACAACACGTGACCTAATATTCTTATTTAAGTTCAATCACACTAGGCTCAAATACGTTCATTTTAATATTAGTCAAAGTTCTGATTAGTTATAATTAAACAATTTAATTAAGTATGTGCTATTATATTTATCCGAGTAATATTTTTGTTTACATAATTATAAATATTCGTCGAAATAATTTAAATTTGATCTAATTTTTTTTTCTTTTGTATATTCCATGCCGCTTTGTACCTCCCATATCGAATCTTTAACTTTTACCAACCTAAGTGCATCGAACGTTTGATAAATAAATAAGTAGAATCCATTTTCTGTCTGAAAAAGATCCTAAAGAATACATAATTTAGTTAATTTTGAGAAATTTAACGTAAAATCAGGTTTGTAAATCCATACCAATTTGTCTCCAAGAAAGGCCGAAATATTAACGTTTCATGAGATGGAAATAAATTAAATGCTGATAGTATAATTTGGGTAGTTATAGTTTAAACCTAACGAAATGAAAGAAACAAAATCTCAAATAGAATTAGATTTATTTATAACAACATTGTACAAAAGAACATAAAAATAAAAGTTATAAAATTGTACTGTAAACTTTTGTACTTGGGCATGAAAAATGAATACAAATTATGAAACGAAATATAGATTGAAAATTAGGCTTGTTTGTCTGACTTCATGCTTTCCTTCAATTTGGTCATTGGGGTTTCGATGATCTCTTTGTACTCAGGAACTTCTGATTTCATTTTCTTCATCCAGGCAGTTACTTTAGGAAATGCAGTTAAATCATAGTCAAAAAACTAGAAAATAAACAGATTTATTTAAAATTATAGCGAGACATAATTTTTACCAGAAAGAAATTACAATACCACAATGATTGATTGGAAATGCATTGGAACAATTGTTCTAAGTCTGGATGGAACATGGAACAGCAATTCTTATTAACCATTTCTTAACTTAACAAGAAAAGCGCACTAATGTCACATAAACATACTACGGTTTCGGTTCGATAATGGTGAATCTTCTTAAGTATGGAAACGTAAAATGAAATAGGAAACTCCAGAAATGCAAAAATAAAATTGCAATTAAATTACAGTAAGGAACAAAGGGTGTTGACCAATAGGGGACTGGATAAAAAGCTAAAAAATTGTTATAAGATCGAGTTTTCTTAGTCATCAGTTAATAAAAGTAGCCAACAGCAATCCTCTGCCACGTCTTGATTCCTGGAAATAATTACATATTTTGAAAATTCTAATAATTTAGTTGTTGATTTTTTTAACATATTCTTTTCAAATGATTTAAATCTATTTTCCTTGAACTACTACACTTTGAAACATCTGGGTTTCTTAACTAAATATCACATGTTTCTTCACCCTTTATTTATCCATTAAATAATGTCTATGTTACACTTGGACAAATATTATTTTTGATATTCAATATTATTTTCTAATTCTTCATAAAATTTTTAATCTGGGACTTACACCACATTATAAAATTTTAATTAAAGTTCAACATTAAATACTTTATTTCATAACTGGTTGATGAGCAATAAAAAAATATGCAAGACTTACAAAATCGATCGAATTAAAAAGCTGAGAATTGAGAAAGGAAATTAAAGAATCATAAAATGACAACCTCGGATGAAATATCAACAAATAAATAGTTCCATAGGTGTGGTTAACTAGTAATGATAAACGGTAAGTTATATTACAGCGACAGACAATTTCCAATGGGTTATTTTGCTCCTTTTTAATGTTTTTTTTTATGGAAATAATATTAGGACTTAAAAATTCAATCTGTACATAAAGGATTGACTCTCTTCTTTTGTCTGATTATCTTGTTCAACATAGTTCCCCAAACCTAATTGCTCCACTCGTTTTCTTTCTTGTTGTAACTTGATTGTAATTTTCTTCGTGAACTTCGTAATTTTCTTTTGCTCGTATGGACAGTGTTCCCTCATTCGTTTTGAATTTGTACAGTTTTATAGTTTAGAAGGTTCAACATTATAGAACCGAAGCTATGCTACGTTTATTAAGATGCATTAATTGTGCTTTTTGTTTTGCGTTATCTTCATTCATATATGGTACAAAATTAATTCTTTATGCTCTTGAGAATTCTGTTTTTGGAGCTATGTATTTTTATACTAATGGACACATTTAGAGCAATAATTTTACTTTGTATGGACTGTGATTGGAAATATATTATTTTGATGAAACATAAAAAATTTAGCAATGATATAAACTTATTAAAAATTACCCATTTTTTTCTATTATTGTCTCCGATTACCGCCAGATGGAACGTCTCATTACAAAGAAAAAAGCTCAGGGTTCTCATTAATTTAACGTTCTAGTAAGTTAAAATGTAAAATCAATTTATATTTATTTTTTTGGTGTAACTGTATTTTATTTTGAAGGCATGTTCAAATACAATTAAATTTAAATTAATAAATCAAAATAATCTTAGATATAAGCAATCAACGCCCCCTCCCCAGCGGGTCACAGTAAAATTATCAAACGTTGACAGGTCCGCGGTGATAAAAAGGTTGGGGAACACTGCCCTATAAAAATGAAGAAGAAAAAAAAGATAATTTAAAAACTGGCCGAAAAACAACTTACGTGAGGGAAAATGAGACTTGCAAATATTGAGAAATCAGCAATGGTAAGATGGTTTCCAGCAACATATGAAGTTTGGCTGAGGAATCCTTCCAGAAATCCTAAAGCTTTATCAGCAGCTTCTTTCTTTTCACTGTCGGGAGACTGGTCAAGGAAGAGTACAGGATACTGAAATGGATGAAAATAAGGTGTTATTTCAGTTTTCAGCACATTTAATGAAAGAATTATTAAAATGGTTTTTAGCAAAATATGCATTAGAGCCATTTTTACTTCATGAACCACAATAGATTATTAAAGTACCATTAACTTTTGGATGAGGTAACGATAACTTTTAAGTGCAGAGAAGTTTTAAAATAACTTTGCCTACATGTGACGCTATGGTTATAATACTCAAGAGAACGATATAAATTTTTGCATAAATGTATAATAAAGTATCAGGGTTGCTACTCAAATCTAGAAGAAAAAAAACTATCTGTATTTTCCGAGTACAGGGGTCTGTTTAGAAGAAATTTGGGTCCACTAACGGACCCCTCACAAAATATCTTTTCATAAAAACGGACCCTTAACAATTTTGTTTATCTTCATTATTGTGTTGTTAATCAATTAATCCTTCCCAGGAAGAGGGGGGGGGAAGACAATTGCAAACGAACTAAGTTTTGTCTTCGGCAGAAGCTCCTTCCTTTATTCGTCCGAAATGAATATTCTGCGTTCAGCAGTGTAGGTTAAATACCAAATATTTGTATGTTGCATCTCTAAAATTGTAGCAGCAATTGCTGTTTATTTTTTAAAATTTAATTTTTTCAATTACAATTTTACAGTGTTGAGCATAATCTTGTATGTCTTTACAATTTAAAAACTCCTTGAAAAAGTTTTTTTGCACCCTAACGGACCCTATTTGCATAAATTCATAAAAACGGACCCTGGTTGAAAGAATGTTACTTAATGTTTATTTTATAATCACAAATTACGAGAGTAATTTTTTCACAATTTTAGAAAAACGGACCTTTCACAAAATTTCTGAGCAGACCCCTGACATGTTATATGCAATATATTAAGAGGAAACGCAATTAACGTGCTCTTATGTGAACTACATATATTGGGCCAACTATACTAGTTTAATTTGCTGGAAAAATGAGAGAAAAAAAGAACAGTTGAGCATTCTTAAATGAATGCTTTAAGTAAATTAAATAGTTTAGTATAGCTGAAATATCATCCTTAAATATTTCATAGATTGCGTTTTGAGTGGTCACCATTTTTTAAGACGAAAATAAATAACAAAATTCCCTCTATTTTTTCCACTTTGTAAAGAAAAATTCAAAATTCCCTGTTATTTTATTCAATTCCTTGTATTTTCCAGGTTTTTCCTATTTTCCCTGTGGAATGGCAATGTTCTCAGGTATGCTGTTATAAAGGATTAAGAATCACTCCTGGGAGAGATTTTAAGTACTAGAAATTAGAAATTCTCATATGATCAGGGGTCTGTCCAGACATTTTGCGAAAGGTCCGTTTTTGTAAAAAAATTATTCGTAATTTGTGAATATAAAATAAACGTTAAGTCACATTCTTTCAACCAGGGTCCGCTTCTGTGAATTTGTGCACATACGGTCCGTTATTGCAAAAAAATTTCTTTAAGGAATTTTTAAATTGTAAAGACATACAAGATTATGCCCAATACTGTTAAATTATAATTAAAAAAATTAAATTTTAAAAAATAAACAGCAAATGCAGCTACTAAATTAGCGATGCTTCATACAAATATTTGGTATTTAGCCTATACTGCGAAATGCAGAATATTCATTTCGGACGAATAATGGAAGAAGCTTCTGCCGAAGACAAAATTTAGCTTTTACATATGTCTTTCTCTCCCCCCCCCCTTCCTGGGTAGGGTTTATTAGATTAACAAAACAATAATGACGATAAACAAATTTGTGAAGCGGCCGATTAATAGATAAATTATTTTGTGAAGGGTCCGTTTTTAAGTTAAAATATTTTGTGAAGGGTCCGTTTTTATGAAAAGATATTTTGTGAGTTAACGGACCCATATTTCTTCTAAACAGACCCCTGATGATATATACTTTTTCCATCTACTTCAATATAGTAAGGAACTTAAAATGGTGCTGGAGTGATATTTGAAGCGCAAAAATGATGGCGCTAGGCAAAGAAGAGTAAAAACAGGGGTCTGTCCAGACATTTTGTGCAAGGTCCGTTTTTCGTGAAATTGTGAAAAAATTACTCACATTCTTTCAACCAGGGTCCGCTTTTATGAATTTGTGCAAATAGGGTCCGTTATTGCAAAACAAATTTTTTTCAAGGAGTTTTTAAATTGTATAGACATACAAGATTATGCTCAACACTGTAAAATTGTAATTAAAAAATTAAATTTAAAAAAAACAACAACAATTGCTCCTTCTAAATTAGAGATGCAACATACAAATATTTGGTATTTAGCCTATACTGCTGAACGCAGAATATTAATTTCGGACGAATAATGGAAGAATCGTCTGCCGAAGACAAAACTTAATTCGTTTACATCCATCTTTCTTGTTTTCTGCCCTGGAAAGGGTTTATTCGATTAACAAAATAATAATGAAGATAAACAAATTTGTGAAGGGTCCGATTAAAAGAAAAATCATTTTGTGAAGGGTCCGTTTTTAAGTTAAAATATTTTGTGAAGGGTCCGTTTTTATGAAAAGATATTTCTTCTAAACAGACCCCTGATGATATATACTTTTTCCATCTACTTCAATATAGTAAGGAACTTAAAATGGTGCTGGAGTGATATTTGAAGCGCAAAAATGGTGGCGCTAGGCAAAGAAGAGTAAAAAGATTACTTTTTAAAGTTTTCGTCGTTTTTACTTTCCGCCCCACGGCTAGAGCTTGCAAGACAACGGGAAGGAAGATAAAGAAACATTGATTTTGGTGCTGCTTCTCTATTCATCAGTTTGCGTCACTTCTAGTCGTGCAATAAAAGTCGTTCTAACTCAAAAAATTGCAATAAAAGTCGCTCTAACTCAAAAAAATTGCAATAAAAGTTGTTCTAACTCAAAAAAATTGCAATAAAAGTCGTTCTAACTAAAAAAAAATTTTCTTGCCATAACGTTCACGTTTTTTTTACAAAAGGAAGTGCTTTATCTGAAACATTGTGAATTTTTTTTCACTGTAACTGTATTCTTGAAATCTGGATAATCGTTTTAAACACCCTTCATGCAAAATTTTTTTTTTATTCTATGAAACGGTTCTCTCGCAAAGCATAAAGATAATGACATCTAAATTAAAAAATGCACGAAGAGAAGAACAAAAATATATCACCCAAATTGTTTAATAATTAATTGTTAATATGATCGGTATTTTCCCAAAAATACTAGTTTGAGAGCAATATTTCAGTCACTGTTTAGAAATACTTACATTTTTGCTAACATAATTTTACTTTCCATTTTTTCCGCTAACAATTATTCTGATATCAATGTGAATAGCAATACACATGCTTCACATTCAACCAGACCTCGTAAAACTTCAATTTTAGTTACTAATAAAGCCATTGATCTATCGTAAAATATCGATATTTTAAACTGTTACAGTCATCCAATTAGAATTAAGATTAACTAAATTCAGCATTACTTGGCATGATGCTACTGCTTGATGATACTACTATCAAAATTTACCACTATCAAGTAATTTTCGCCAGTGCGTATCCTTTTCGAGGGCTCATAAGACTTTAATTGCCATAGTATCTGTATAAAAACTACTCAGTATTGGTGCCGTTTTAATATTACCAAACAATCATAATAATACTTTGTAGCTATATTAATATATTTGGTACCTATGGCATACTTGAATTATGACCATTTCTCGATCTAACCTTTAATACACTGTCTAAAATATTTGTAAGAAGTTGTGGAAAAAAGTTCTTTAAATGATAACTCATTGAAATGCTAATACTATATCTTTGCTACCACTAGATAAAAAAATTTCTGAAACAACGAAAATCCGTTGTAGAATTCTAATTAAAGCTGAATTTATAATCATAATATCAGCAGCACGTTTTATTAAAATTAATTGGGCCTCGATCTGCGTAATGGTGATTTTTTGCATCCCCCCTAAACGAATAAGTAAATTTTTATCCATTAACTTTGGTTTTTGAATTTATACTTCTTATGCGACTTCCAACAAGATTCGCGATCGCAACGCTCGAGTACGCCGTCTAGCGGGAGCCTGTAAATATCGGACATTAACTTAATACAATCACATTTTCTGCCATCAAAGTCATTGACTGAATCAGACGCCATTTTTTAGCAGCAAATAAGAAACAAAATTTCCCTAAGGAAAAGGCCGAAGAACTTGAAAAAAATCTCCAGAATATTAGTAAATCTTTCAGGAACAGAACACGCCAAACATTTGAAGAAAAATTCCTCAAT